CTTAATATCGTCCCCTTATAGACAACCAAGTAGGAAAAAAATAGAAAAGAAGTAACCCTTTTGAGCATCCGAAATGCAATGCTTTTTCATGATTTTTGACTTGAGAATACAAGGAAATTCTCCCGAAATTTTTACCGATTTTAAATTGGCAACCCTTTTCGTTTCATTTATGTGTCACAAGGATTCCCCTCCTACGTTGATAGAAAATTACTTATTTTCGATGTATGAAGGTATAAGTAGTATAATATTTTTTGGGGAATACCTCTTTATCCTACAACGCGATGTTTTAGGGGATTCCCCAAGTTGATTAGCAAAAATTTGAATATTATTTTTTCATTAGTTTAACACAGTTTCCTGCAGACTGCTAGTAAAACTGATCTTTGTTAGAGACCAATTTCCATGACATGCAGTGTAGTATACTCGTTCAGAAGCCCAGTATGTAAAACATGTAAATATTACACAATTTCAACAATATTATATACATACCTAATTACATTCATACAAATATACACTGCACCATTTCATCTCTGAAATAACCAACTCAGTGTCATAGTGAAAGGCGGTATATATTATTTTTGCCCAGAGCGGATAAGTCATCAGATATTTGGCGCAGTTTGACCTTTGTAAAGTGTTATAAATATCTATTACCAGTCAAATACCTACTATAACCAATAAATTTAAAATAGCATTTGATGATGATGATTTGCTATCAATTCCAAAGGTAGATCTGATATTGCTTATCAGAAACTTAATGACGGGAATTAGGCTTGTTTTAAAGTTGTTTACAAACATTATAATAACAGATAGAGTTATTTCAAAATTGTAATGCAAATAATGGTCTTTGATGATGCTATATTTGAAAATGGATTTATATTATAACGAGCACGAGTGTGTTTGTGTGCGATCGGGCACACGTGTGCGTGAACGGCTTATCGATTCGCCGACTGACCGCGGGCGCTTTTCTTCATGTGTGCGGTATTTGTAAATGTGTGTGTCGTACCTGCGTTCTGGGAAAGCAGTTAAACAGTTCAAAGAATAAAGAAACTATCCGGATGCTTCGAGAAGGTTCCCGAAAGTAAACAAAAGAGTATTTAAAGGATGAGACGATCGCCGAGAGAAGTAGAAATAAATTGACCGTTGCAGAAGTGAATCCAGAAATAAAATGACATTGATAGAAGTGAAATAAATAGCGCAGTGAATAGTGATATATCAATAGTAGTGTAAATAAGTAGAATAATTCATAACCTAGGTTTAGTAATAATGTAATACTGTTTTTAAGTTCTTCAATAATTAGTGTAAATAATTAGTTTTTGTCGTTATCAGTATTAGAAGTTAATTTTGTTAAACCCACGAACATTACAATATATTAGTTGGCTATCAATATAAATTTATTTATATACCATGTAATTATGATGATAGAATGGTGAAAGAATTAAGTCAAAGATAAGGAATAGATTAGAGACTCATAACTTAAAAATGCAATAAATTAAAACAAACGTGTACAGGTGTAGATTCGGAAAGAAGGTTCGGTCTCTCCAGAGACAAGCAAGGCTATAAGCTATTAATAGGATGCCCTCCTGGAAGTCCAGGTATAATAACCAAGATAGGCACAGTGATGTCCGTTAGATTTATTATATGTTATAGTCGCGCATTTATACGCCATTTAGAAAACAGAGAGGCTCACTTACGACAATAGGTGTCTCACCTTTCAAGTAACTACAACAGAAACAACAACGAGGAAATTTATGAAAGAAACGGCCTCCGAAGCTGTCGAAAAGAGCACTGTGTATAGACCGAGGGGCGTTTGCAACTGCAGGGGGCAGCATTGTTGTGCAAGGGGCCTGTCTTGTCAAGTGCTCACTGACTTCTCCAAGCCCTCAACGGCCAATTAACTTGATATTCAGCGTACGGAAATGTTATGTGGTTGATATTATTTCTTTGTTATCGGATTCGACACAATGCGCTTTTTGTATTGTGCGAAAAGGGCGTGTGATTTCGTAAAGGTGACGGCACTAAAGCTGACTTTATGTTTGAGTTTAAACTGAATCTCTTGAGAAGATACTGTGCAAACGCAACTTTATTTGCATATATATGTTAGGGTGTTTTTAATTCGACCACTTTGGAAACAGTTAAAAAAATATTCCTCAAATTAATGTTAATCCATGGCGAGTTATCTATATATAAATTTTCACATTAAATTTTTGGCATTAAAAGCCAATCGAGAATAAAATTGTCAACTCTTACTTGAGATATAGATACCTATTTAATAGCTGTGAAATTCATTAATTTTTTTTTCAATCATCAAACACGTCCATAAATTATTTAAGCATCTTTATTAGTACAACAACCATGGAGTCAATAAATATATATACTTCTTTATTAGACTTACTAGGTATAGGTTTGTTAAGAAATGCAAATTAGTTGTCTACAAAATGTGATGTACCTAAAGTATTTTATAAAATGAAAGACATTTACAGCAATTAACGGATAATTATCCTGATTCAAGTAGATCCTTCATATCTACAGAGAAATTTGCGATACCATTCAGATTCTCTACTTCTTCCAAAGATCCAAATAACTCCTGTGTTATGTTAAACGCATTTATAACCCATCCCAAAACTTCCTTTATCTATAGCAAAAAGATAACCCATCAGCAGATGGAAACCGTCCACCACGTGCTCGAAAATTGAAAAATCTTCGGAATCGTCGTCGATCTCTTTATCCATTAATCATTTGGGTGCCCTCATTTCGCACGAACGCTGCACCATCTTAGGTGGCCTTACTTCCTTCCATTTATTTGCAGGGTGGTCACACAGCGGTAATCCAGAATACGACGAATGCCCCCTAATAGATGTCACCAGGCGAATCCGTTTAAAAAATTTATGGGTTCGGGTTGTTTCGTCTGTTAAAAAGTTAAATGTGCGGTGTAAACTTCGTCATTGTATTGCAACTACTTGTCTAGGTCTAGGTGAATAAATGTGACTGCAGACTGCAGGTATACTATTCAGATGTGTGTGTTATGTGTTTCTTTCCTTCTTTTCAATAATAGGCGTTTTACAGCGGCAACAACGTGAGACGACCAGCTGTGAAGTAGGAACGGTCTCTAACAAACACTAGCTCGAAATAGGTGGCTCAGTGTAAAGTCACGACCCACCTGGACCTACGAACAAACCATTTCACACGGCTCTCGTGCCTATTCTCAAGTCGGATCTGTTTGTTTTGCTTATCCAACTGCTATGCCCATTTTTGCGGTTTATAGCATTAACAGTATTATACCTACAAATGTACCTAATGCTATTCATGTCAATAAGTAGCTATTTAAACTCTGAAAATTGTTGATTCCATATCCACACCATTTATAGTAAATAATGCGTGTCCTGTGGTCATATGTTAACCCCTTAAAAAAAGCGGTGGTGGGTTTGAATTTTCTAGTATAGCTTATTATCTATATATTACTCCGTATTACTGTGTTTTGACACAATGTCACTTATCCATATGTCGACTGTCCTGTCTACAATTCACCGTTTTATATTGCCATTTCTGGAATGTTGTTGAGTTTTTTTAGAAGATTATGAAGATATCTCCCGAACCTTCCCGTAATTCTTTTCTTTCGCATTTTTTATCTGCGTGTTTATAAGTGTATTATAATTTATGAGCATGATGCTATGGACTTATTCGGCTCCTTCTGCAAAATGATGCTCTATTTAGAGTCGATATCAACATCCTTTTATATCACTTATGCTCTACATTTACTTTATATTCTATATTTCAATGGTATGAACACTGTACAGATTATACAAATTAGAAACTATCTAAACTAGTGGAAATTTGAGTATAAATAAGGAAAATAAACTTGAACCACCTCCTGGTCAAAAATTTCTTTTTTATATTTATTTGCTGGTCACAAATTCTGTAAGTGTTAGGTATGTGTAAGCAGATATGGTGAGCGCTTTTGGTACTGATGTAAAATTGAATGAAATGCATGTATAATGCTGAGCAATGGCTGTCCGTGCTGATTGCTCGTGGTCAGGGTGGGTGGCCGTGGGGGGCGGCTATCAAGTGGCTGTCTACAGAGCATGTCGCCACCGCCACCGCCTGTTCCCTGATTGATGGCTTCAGTCAAGCGCAACTGATAGTGGGACCACACATCGTCTCCGTGTTGCCGCCCCACGAATGCTCCGCCCCTTTTTACGGTCCCGCCTACGAGCGCGAAGGGTCAGAACTACTCAGAGAGCCAGTCAGTCTACAAGCGATCCCCTTAACTACTGGACATTCATAATGTTTTGCATACTATAGAAAGAAAAACGGTTGTGGTGCAGTGACAAAAAGTGCTTCTTGAACGTAGTTTTGACGCGGACAAGTTTTAGTGCAGTGAAAGCGAAAATGCTTCTAGGTGCCGTCCCCGATGACGAGGCCGCAGGACTGCTCCTGCCGACGGCTAAGGCTACTCGTGCCACGGACTTTTCTATTGCGGCTATAATGGCCAAAGGGGGCAGCTCCCCACAACAGTCTTCTCGTTCCGTCTCCCCACAAACACCTCCACCGGATGTCAGACTTCAAGGTCAGTTAAAATAGTTCTTAGGAAAGGAAATGTTAGATACTTACAATTGTGTTTGTGTTGTGTTCAAAATTATAAACAATATCATTAATACATGTTAATCTAGAAACGTAACTGATATTTGTTGAATTTAATTCAACCAAAAATTGGCGAATTTCAACTCATAAATAACATGCCTATGTAAAGGGGTCTAGTTCTCGAATCATTTTGTGGGAATTACGCTCTATATCTATATAATTTTTCTACTTCAAAAGGTTCAATGATAGATACCTAATATTAACTTTTGAAAACTTTTTTGATTTAGGTAACCAACAAGTGGCTTAAGCCTACGCGAAATTTGAATATTTTAATTTTCTTGTGTTACCT